CTTTGTATGATGAAGACAGAGTAGTCCTTGCCCAAGTTGGAGTGGACTTTCCCCTTCAAGTTTTGAGCTCACCAGAGGCTCAATGGGGAGAGCGGAGGATGGAACCCTCCCACAATCCTTTTAATAACTAGTCAAAAGCAGAAGATGTAATTTCCTTTGCCTTGATTTGATTATCTACTCTGGAAAAATATTGACTTACATAATGTCTGTATTCTTTCTTACCTGAAATATCTCACCTTTGTTCCAAACTAAATAAATGTCAAACTAAATGTGGTACGCTGTTATTAATTTAGGCTGCCCAAACAGTCTTACAGGGAAATAGATTGGCATGTTTTCTTCGATCAGATTTTCTAGATACAAACATTGAGACAACAGGGTGGTTGGTTTATCTTCTCAGGAATGGTGCATTTAAGAGAGTAACAGAAGCAAGATTAAGCAGAGAGAACAACTGAACTGTGGTCAAAGATACATTAAAGGCTTTAATCCTATAGAGAGGATGAAATTAATTTTGGGATGATCCTTTAAAAGATCCTAAAGTGAGACAAGGGGCCAGGTCTTTGAACCCCCAACTTAGCAGTCATTGGATGCTAACTTCCCCCAGCAAAGGAACATAATCTTGAATGAGGAAGTGTCCTTCCACTAAGGGCAATTCCTAGAGAAACACCAAAGTGGTTTGGAAAATGAACACCTTGGCTCTCAAAGGGGTGATTGGGTGACACGCCATAATATCAGCTGCAGCCCACCTTCATTTAATATGCTTAGTTCTACTTTATTCCTAATAAGTCCTCCTCATTGAAAGACACCTTATTTAGGATTCTATTTGCCCTCATTTTCTAATGAAATTTACAAGGATGAATTAGAGCTCCCCCGAGTAGAGATGCCTCAAGGCTGTTGGTGGTGCTCACCAGCATCCCCTTTACCACTCATTCTAGATTCTGCACACTCAGTTTGCACCTCTGGTGGCCTACGTTGTTTATCTGCTGTGGTCACCCCTGCCCATCTCTGAGGAGTATGGCCTCCTAATCGCCATGTAATTCTTGGGTCAAGGTTGCTGTGCTTGTCGACCATCTCCCCCAACTTGGGAGAGAAGTTGCAAGAAACACACTAGTAGCTAAAGGGTGCAAATATGTTCTTCTCTGCCCCCAGTGTAATACAGCAACCCTTTCTCTCCTTAATGTCGGAGGTCAACTATCCCACCATGATCTCTCTTTTCTTTCCTCTCTATTCATCTTTTGATATAAGGAGCCTGAATGACCAGATAACAACAATTGCTTAAAATTAACAGGACTTACATCAGGTCCCTGGTGAAAGCCTTCCCTTCTGAGAATAAGGTCCTCTGGATCCACAGAATCTAAAATTGCAAAGAAGTTAAAATTCCTTCAAGTAAATTGTGGGAGTGGTGATAAGCTGGGACACTTCACCTCCTAGTTCCTAGACCTATTTATTCCACACACTGGGAAAATAACATCATATAATGATCCTTGATTTAAGGTATTTAACATATCCTGGAAGATGGAAACTCATCCTTTCAGAGTATCAGCACTAAGTTGGCATAATAGTGGCATCACAAAGTGAATCTTCCCTGTATCCTCATTTAGGCAAGCACTTTCTCGCTGTACCCAACAGAATATCCATCCCAATTATACATTTGGAGAAATAATTCAATGACTACTTTGACTCTGGAGAATCAGTAGAGCCACTGGGAGCCTGACCTGAACTGCCATCCCTTGACACTTGTAACCCATATAAGCCCACTCTATCAGTGGGATATAATTGTGCCTCAGTTCCTGAGAATCAAAGTCAGCTCAGATCCTAGGCTCAATTATCCTTGAAATGTTTGCATACTTATTTCCATATTTATTACCATGCAAATTCAACGTGTTTTAGTATCTACCTTTCAGAGGACCACCATCTCTTCAATAAGATGAAATCCCAAAGCACTGACCTATGTATATATCAGACATTGGTCTTCTAAAGGAAATCTTTCTAGAGAAAACAAATATAACCTCTCTGTATGTTGTCTTATTTTAACTTAATGCAAATAAAGCATAATATATAAGGAAACATTACTAAAAGGACAGATGACAATAATAAAATAAATCATGTGTATCATCTTTACCAAGAACAAAAGTTCAATCATATATCTACATTTAACTTTGCCTTAGATTGTGAAACTAGAGTTTTAGTGGGTGAGGAAAAAATCTTTCTCTTAGTGCAAGGAAAATATCAGTATTATTACTTCCATTTTTGATGCCCCAAATTCTTTCTGCCTCACAGCTATGGCAAGTACAGTACTGCACTGATCAGAAACCAGCCACCTTTAGTCAACTACACTTCTCATCCACTAGAGAAATGTCATTGTTTGGCTCTGTCATACCAACAATTCATTAAACAAGAGAGTCGGTGAAACATAAGCCCAGAGAGGGCCAATTGTGCAGGTAGACATCTACAATGATCAGCTTTCATGTAGCTTGAGCCAATCACTCAACCTCCTGATGTTTCTGTTTCCTCACATATAATAGGAAAATATAACCATATCTATGGCAAAGGTTCATAAGGATGAAACATACAAAATATTTAGAAAAGTATCAATCACAGAGACCCTATGAATATTTGTCATTATCTTATTTAAACGTCATCATTATTATTATTTGTGAGCTTAAGACACAAATAATAATAATAAGACACAATAATAATAATTAAGCTTAATTACAGAATGACACATTTAATAAAATACATTGGCTTGCTTATATTGGGATACAAAATGATAGAAGGAATCGATTGATCCTGGGCAATATATATTCCAAACTTATCCCTAAATGTATTTTTTTAAAAGGGACAGCATAGTAATACTAAATATTGATAGTAGCCTGCCATGATCATCTATAAATTTTCAAGGCTCAGTAATGCTCCCTTTTCTCCATCACTTTGCCTGTAGAGCTAACCCCCGCTGTGCATGTTCTCAGATCTCGAGGTATTCCACACACATGTTGGATTTGTGATTCCCTGATCCCACCATGCTCTCTCCTGCTTCATGAGTCTCACAAGTCATTCCCCTTGTCTACTACACTATTACTTCAACTCTGACCAGGAATACTCATCCTTCAAGTTCAGGTGCTCCTTGCCCTGGGAAGCCCTCCTCTGTCTCCCGATTCTAACCAAGCTTCCCACCCTCTGCCTCCCCAGGCAGCTCTATTACCATGTTCCCTGTCCAAGCACTGATCATGTAGTATGACAACTTACGTGTCCACATCTGTTTCCCTGGTTAAACTAAATTCCACACTGATTGTTTCATTTTCATCATTTAGTAAAGAGTCGGGCATAAAAGGAACCTTTATAAAGTAACCTTTAGTATAATCAACATATGACACAAAGAGTAATATATAAATAAATGCATGAGCCAAGAAGAGCTTTAGAAAAAAACTTGGCAACTGGGTTATACACACACAAATATGACATCTCTGAAAAGTCACTTGATTTGCTCATTTCTGTCCTTCATTCCTAGCACTCCTTAGTCTTGAGGTGAGTTAGACTCACACACTGCCAGAACCCCACTCCTGGGATGTGATAGCAACATGGGTGTCGGTTGCCACTTCCTGACCCCTGACCATGCTGGGCTCTCTCTGGCGTTCTAGCTTTGGCTAAGGCTGAGAAGCCAAGTTCACCAGCTCCATCTTCCTTCCTAACAAGGAGAATTATTCTGCTGCCTGTGGTTGTCCCTTTGAAATCTGACTCCAACCACACTCTTCCTACTTGGTTCTGCACCTCTCCTGGTGCCTGGAGGACACAGCACCACGAGTGAGATCTGGGGATATAAGCTTGACTGGTGCAACGTGTTCCCTTAGTTATTCCACTGTTCACATTTTACTAGAATGTGATTATAACCCCCAAATGAATTTTCATTATGTGTAAACATAATTGCAATATCTGAAAGTGAGCAAAAAACATTTTAGAACCTCTATCTTATTTCTCAGTGCCCTGCTCCTTGTTCCTCACTGCCGTCCTCTGAAGGTTCTTCCCACAGAAGATCTCTTTATGAGCCCTAAGTCTCTCCAGATGGCTTCCAAACCCACAATGCTGAGGGTATAAAGCTCAGGGCAATGTTTTCAAAAGTGTGGTCTTTGCATCATCTGGATCATAATCTAGGGAGTATGTATCTGCAACTCAATGCATTGGACCTGATTACCTTGGAATGGGGGCTCTGAATGTCATTTTATTTATTTTTTCAATAAACACGTAGATTTATTTTAAGTCAGTTTGGTACATGATACAGATTGGTTTTGCAGTTTAAAATGAACTGAAATAGAAATTTCTAAATACAGCAGTGTCTGCCTGTGCAACAAATATCTATAAAGTAAAATAAGGCATTTGATAGACCTACATCTGCATGAACAAATCAGATGAAAAATCTGAGAAGATTTCATAATATACCTTCTGGATTAAAAAAACCCCAAAATTATTAATGGCTCAAGATACTACATTGCTAAAGGAACGGCGGGGAAAGTCAGAAAAGGCTGAGTTCTGTTTCTAGAGCTCATCTGTAGACTTGCAAAATCTAACAACATTATGCTTTTGTTGTTAGAGGAGTGCTCAAAATTATAGAAGCTTCAAATCAAGTCACATTTTCACAAAGTTGCTACATATGCTGAAATTAACGTGTGGCAAGGTTATTCCAGGCAAATAATCATTATACACCGTAGCTAGTTTTTGCCACCTTGTGAGGAATGGGATTCTGTGAATTTTTCAAATGAATTATACAGCACTCACTAAAAACTAACAGCCATGGCACCATAATAAATTTTGTGAGGTACCTAAATATTACTACTAATGGAAACACAAAAATGTGAGGTAAATCTACCTTTTTCCAAAAAATCTTTGAAGCCAGAGATTTTAAACAATTAAGGCACTTGAAAATATTAGGTATATGTACAAATGTGCAAGTAAAACAAACTTCAGCTGTACCAACAAGTGACCAAAAAAAAAAAAAAGCCCAGTAACTCTTCATTTTAAGAACCTTTAATATAATGACCTAAATACAAGTTTTGGTTTATGAAATGAACAAAGGCATTTGTCATTTCCCTATAAACTATTGAAAATCAAGTGCTAAACTCAGCCACTAAAGGCTTAAAAACAAAAACACTTAAATGACCTAAAAAAGCAAAAGTCCATTTTAAACTAATTAAAGCCTCTGAACTAATCCAATGTGTCAAAGAAAAGGGAGAAGCAACCCTCTAAAAGTAAGAAAACTAGTGCTTAAGAAACTGTAGAAACAAAAATATGTATGCTTATTTATATTATGGGAGTTGAAATGAAGAAAGAAGGAGAAGAGGAGGGGGAAAAGTGGAAGTACAGACTACACATCTAGGGCAAGCATCATTAAAAATCTATAGTAATCTGATAAAAAATCCTTAGATTTTCCGAAATTATACTGATCACATCTGCCATCTGAAAACTTAAAATGATTGTCTTACTTAAAGAGCTAATAAATGATTCTTTCTTTTTTACTTCATGAAAGTAGTTACTTTCCAGGTAAGCTTGGTATAAATCCTTTCAAGGTTCATAGTGTTAAGATATTTTTTTGAACACAAAGGAAACATAATTTTATCACAATTCTTTTCAACAGCCCAAAGAAAAATGTTGTGAAATTCAATGTGAAGTTTTTAAACTTTGTAAAATAGTAATTAGCATAAGTTTCTCAGCTCTAGGGGGAAAAATAGGTATGCTTTTAATTTAAATATTAACAGTATGATATCTAAAATCAGGTTTACTACTGCTTACATCAATAGTTACAATCTCAAAACCGACTTTTGTCTTCCTTAATATCAAAGAACAAATCACAGATTTTAAGTTCAGCCTACTTTTCAGTCTGTCTTTTAAGGCACTGTTCTTTATTTTCTCAGTGATATAAGGTGCTTTTTAAAGTATGAATAATATCCTGTTAAACATTAATGGTCTGTATCCTTTCCATTCATTTCTTTAAATCTGGAATGTAATTCCCCATGTAGCATGTTATTTCTAATGTAGAAAAAAATAACTTATCAAGCACAAAATTTTACTCTATGGATACAGTTTAGTACTACTAAATTAATAAATTTATTCCACCTTTGAAAGGATAGCCAAAAATCCACCTGATTTGATGCTCATTTGGCACACCTTCTCAATTCTGGCCACTAAATTACATCTTGAATTAGCATAAAAATAATGCAGCTTTCAGGCTTTAAGATAACTAAACTTAAACTACCAAGAGTCAGGAGGTTGTCTGCACCAGACAACATTCTCCATCACTTATAGAAAGTTACATTTGGCATGAACAGAAACATAATCCCACAGCAGCAGCCATTGAAAATAAAAGACGACAGCCACAAGGATTCATGCAGAATATTTTTTAAATATTCCTGTTAAGTAAAACATTAACTGATTTTTCTTCAGGGATGATGTTCCAAAATATCCTATATGCATCCTTTGGAAATTTAAAGATCCTGGAATAGTGTCTTCCATGTAGGACTTCTTGTAAGATAGTATTTTGGTTTCAGTGAGTTACACAAATGAACTGCCAGTCCTTGTTAATTTAATGGGTCTGCTTACAAAGTATGGTAATTTCGTTCTTTAGATTTGCAGAACTTATAGAGAAAGAAAATTACAGCCTGCACGCCCAAAACAAGGACAATTCCTCCGATGAAACTGGCTGCATCAAAGGTAGACTTCCGTGCAGGTGTGAGGTTGGAGCCATAGTGGTATTTGTTGCATCTGATGTGGTAACTGTGGTGGAATATGTAGAAGAGGAAGGCAGAGTTGTGACTTTAGCTGTAGAATTAGTTGGCACTGGAGTCGCAGTAGGCACAGAACAGAACTTAGTGCTGTTCCCCACGCTACAATTACTAACTGTTGGGTTATATGAACAGTAGCTCTTATTTGCTTCTTTACATTCTATCCAAAAGCAGGTAGTATTGTTAATGCTAACATTTACACAGGAAGCACAGCTGTTTTGTCTTTCATAGGTTTCTTCTGGTACTAGAGTGGTGACCAGCGTCGCCGGCGTCGGGGCCACCTTGGTGGTTGCTGAAGAGAGTAGTTCAGTCTCTGCTGGAGTCACGGACGAGTTCTCCTCAGACAGCACGCAGACCACAGACAGGCAGGTGGCTGCCCAAAACAGACGGCTGGAGAACCCGAACATCGTGTCTTCTGTGGTGGCGTCCTGGAGAAAGCTGCAGCATACAACGCGCAGTCCGTCCCTCAGTCCCCTGCGGCGCCGCCTCCAAGACTTCGCCCCCCTCAGGAGTGCCTGAATGTCATTTTAAATGCTTCTAGCAATTATTATGCACCCTCTATATGAGATCCACAAACTTGACTCCTTCCAGGTATGTCTTTTAAGTATTTTAAAAAGAATAACCTTCAGATGGCAAAGTAATGCATTTGCTATATGTATCTGATCTGAAGACCCTTTGCTTCCTGGTATGAATGCACCTGACTCAAGCAATTGTCTGTGTAGTGGTTTTGTACTTCAAGATTAAGTGGGTTCCTGAGGCCACGTGGAATGCAGATCACATCGATGTAGGGGGTTATTGACTCTGGCATCTGATATCAGTTTAAACCTAAAGCCAAAGTTTATGAACTGCTTAAGGATATGTTTTCAACTTCTAGGAACTGAATGTCCCCATGGTAGCAAATGCATCTGGATGCCTGAGCAAACTTAGTGCATCTGCTAGCCTGGGAAGTGGATCTGAATGGCTACCTGCAACACTGGAGAAAATAAGAGGAGAGTTATTGATGCTGAAGAATTCAAAGATGTAGGATGTGGCTATGTACTGCATTTGAATAAAACCCAGAATTACTAATTGGTGAGCCATGCTGTATGTCCAGTGGTACAAAATAAAAATAATAGTGAACAGATAATATTATTTCCTGTATAACAAAAATTTTAAGTAACCTCGGAACAGTTTTCTTAAAAAACAAGCCATTATTATCCTATAAAGACAATTCTCTTACTAACAGAAACCATATTTAATTCTTTTTTTTCATTCTTTTTATTTATACATGACAGTAGAATCTATTTTGATATAGTTATATAAGCTTGGAATATATCTTACATATTTAATTCTTGATCAAGATTATTATACTATGCTAAACTTCCTTTTGAGTTAACATTATATATAAAAACAGGGAATACTGATTCTTTCTAAATAGTCTATTAACATGCTAGTGAAAATCTCCAAATGCAATCCTTGGACTAGAAAGTAGCTCTTACTTTGTGCTGGGCATGGTGGCGTACACCTGTAATCCCAGCAGCTCAGGAGGCTAAGGCAGGAGGATGGTGAGTTCAAAGCCAACCTCTGCAAAAGCGAGATGCTAAGCAACTCAGTGAGACCCTGTCTCTAAATAAAATACAAAATAGGGCTGGGGATGTGGCTCAGTGGTCCAGTGCCCCTGAATTCAATTCATGGTACCAAACACCCCGCCCCCAAAAATGTAGCTTTTACTTTGGGACAAAGGTTGTAAGTTATTGCTTCATGCTGAAAAAAATGTATATAATATATATATATATATATATATATATATATAGAGAGAGAGAGAGAGAGAGAGAGAGAGAGAGAGAGAGTCAATTCCTTCTCTTCCTACTATGTGGTTGGGTACTAAGACTCCAGAGAGTCAAAGGGACACATGATGTCTGTCTATCTCTTGATACCCTAAAGGTCTCCATTCCAAGTGAGCTGACATGAAAGTCTATTGAGACTTGAATCAGAAAATGCCCATTTCTCACTTTGGTTATACCAAAGACCTTTAAAGGGATAAGAGACTGAATCACTCTAAGAAAGCCCATATGGACTTTCTGACAAAAGCATGTAGCAGCATAGTCTATAGACATAAAGTAGAACTGTGTATATTTATCAATGATAAAATATTAAGTATCAGATATTTCACAGACTGCACACTGACCTAAATATACTTTTGTCTTCCTAGAAGATATTTAATGAAATAATAACAAAAGTAGTAAAAACCTGAATATGAGGTACATTATATTGAAAGAAATGCTGGCCTTTGGCCTTTTAATTTAGATTCTTTTTTTTCAGTGAATGTTTATTAACTATGTCCATGGGCCTAATAGCACATATAATATCAGCAACTCAAAGAATAATAATAGAAGACTATCATTCTCCCACATATATTCATACTCAATAGGGAAAAAGCAACCACATTAACAAATAAATATAAATCCGTGTTGAGTTAATTGTCACAAAACATGAGTGAGTATTCACATAAAGTCTTGGAGTCCTCATAAATATAATATCTGAGCTTAACCTTCAATAATGAGGGGAGAGGGGGGGAGCATTCACACTGGGGAAGCAGGAAGTTCAAGGTCAGACTGACTGAGCAGAGGCAACCTATTTCAGTACTAGGTACCATAGCTACGGCCTAGAATGGAGGAAGAAAAGTGTTAGGAAACAGGCAAAGAGGCCATAAAAAAAAAAAATCATCATGACCCTTCACAAAATAAAACTGTTTTCTAAATGAATAACTTTAAATTTCTCAACAAAAGTGAAAAATGCAAAACTTTCCATCAAAATAAGAAGTATTTGTTGAAAAAGAATACGATCTTATGACCACATTCCAATGTGAAGCTTAGATTCCGTTTCAGACAATCATAAACATTGCTTTTTGAAGTCACAGGCAACTGTAATAGTTCATAATTAGAAGGAAACTAAACAGAAAGAAGACAAACTAGGTCAGCAATGTAGGGCACTGATCATCTGATCTTCTTCAGTCTATTTTAAAATTCTGAAGACAAATTCTTCCAATATGTTCAAAGTAGAAGGTTGGCTTTTTTTTTTCTTTTTTGCTAATCTTAGTGAACAAGCAAGAATTAAAAATATTTGGAACTGAAAGGGTATTAAAATATTGGACCATTCTGCAGTCAAGGTCAATCTTCTACACTATGTCTTTGATATCATGGAGCACTTCCATATTGATGGAAACAAGGTATGCTTCATCATTCTTCTGCCTGTCTTCCCTCAACCATCTCACTGTAGGACACGAGATTACTACAAAAGAAGATTCTAAAAAGCACTCCACCAGTTAGTTGAAGAACAATATATTATAAGTTCTCTTAGATAATTTTTGGAAGATTTTTGTATGTCTTTCTCCCCTTTACACAGACAATCATCATCTGTGAGTATTAAGTGTTAAAGTCAAGCAATAAAAAGTACATTATCTTCATGAGGAAACAAATTACATTGACCTTTTAAATGTGTTGCTCTAAATTTCCAGAATGAGTGTTCTGATCCTTGGCTTTGTCCTGTTGCTAGAAGGCCCAAGGCGGGACTTGTAGACACCCACATAAACACCATCTGTGCCTTGAGTCATCAAAGACCCTATTTTAAAAATCTTTTACTATGAAGTAGTTAGCTACTCTTAGGCTTCCAATGGTATCACTGCATTGAAAGTTTTAGTTTATAATTTAATATCATTATATATATTCATAATTTAACAAAGAAATTCCTGGCTTAATTTGCCACTTGGTAATTTTCTAGCTCATATCATTCTAACCATCCCACAGGAAACAACTGGAAAAATAATAAAATATCATGCATGCATTTAAATAGCTTTGAAGGCATTAAAGAGGTACTGAGTAAAGGCAAGCCCTGAAACACTACAATCTGATAGGAGAAGGGTAAGAAATTAAGCCCAGCAATTCGGTCGTTCTACCCTCTATTGACATTGGCCAGATCTTAAGTAAAGCAAGAGACAAAGACACCAAACTGAAGTTGGTAAGCCAGGCAGAATTTAAATTGTCTCATGGACTGTGGAAACAATAACAGCTTGTATTATGGCCCTGGAAGGATTGTACTCAAGAGGCAGATACAAACTGAAAACACACCAACTTTTCTAAAACTAAAATTCAGCCTCAGTCAGCTCAGTCCCACCTTGGATTAAGGTAATCTTCATCAAATGTCTGTCAAAAGCTAAAAGAAATCTCTTTGGGGGAAGATATCAATGAGTGGGTTTAATACTAGACCATCTAGAGTAGAGAATTAGTAAGTTAGATGACAGGTAAAGAGTGGTACATCAGGATAATTGCTATATTTGGGGGGCAGGAATATAGGAACTAAATGTGAACACTTTCTGATGTTGGCAACGTGCTATTACTTAAAGGAAATAGTGTTGATGAGAGAAGAGTCACCTGTGAACAGTTGTAAAACCATACAGGTAAAACTTTAAAACTTGGAATTTATGGACACTGTTAGTCTGTTTTCCATTACTGTAACAAAGTTCTGAGAAAATAAATGTACAAGAGAAAAGGGTTATTCATCCCATGGTGTTAGAGGTTTCAATCCATGATGAGGTGGACCCCTTATTTTTAGGCCCCTGGTGGGGAGAGGGCAGCACCCATGACAGGAGTGTTGTGGACCAGGGAAGTATTTCACCTCAGGGCTGGGATGCAAAAAGAGACAATAAATGAGATGGGGGTCCCACAGTCCTCTTAAGGGTACACCCTCAGTTACCCAAAATCTCCCACTAGGCTTCACTCTGAAAGCTTCCACCACCTCCCAAGAGTACCAGTCTGGGGTGTAACCTTTCAACACACAGGCCTTTGTGGGACATTCCAGTTCTCAACTAGAACATTCTTCCCCTGCCTCTGCCAAATTCAGTCCATCCTCCAGGGTCCCCAAAGTTTTAACTGTTCAAGCATTGCTCCAAAGTCCAAATCCAAAGATTCCCCAAGACTCAAGGCAAACTTTGCTCTGAGCCCCTATAGAGATTAAAAGGAGAAAATTACATAATTCTAATATACATAGCACAGGGTAAACATTCTCACTCCAAAAGGGAGAAACAGGAAAATAGCAAGAGGGGATCCAATAAAAGTAAGACCTAAACCCATCAGGACAAACATGAAATCCTAAATCTCAGGTCTGGCCTCTGGGGTACTCTGTGTGGGACACAGGCTCTTGGTGGCTTGGGTAGCACTTGACTCTTGCAGCCCATGTGGTCTCTCTCTTTGCAAGTTTCCTGTTACTACCCTTGGTCGGTAATTCATGTTCCCGGCATCTCTAACTTAACTGGAATGTCCACTATAGTGAGAGTGGAATTTCACAACTTCACTTTCACCCTATCAGAGAGGTTGATTGCAGGAACACCCACCCTAACACACCTTGGCTGCCCTTTCCCAAGTTTTCCTCTGAAATCTCAGGGGAAGCCTCCATAACCCCAGAACTCTTGCATTCCTCATG